TGGAAGCTGTGCATCTTTAATCAGGAGTCATTCAGTGATACTGACCAACTGTGGGATGGACATCCCCCCCTCGGATCTCCTGTTCGAGGGCAGAGTTGACTGGCAATCCCAGCTGCTGCCACTCTGGATCCACCACCAATTTCACGCTGGGGCTACACATCCTTCCAGCTGCTCCCGGCCAATGACTGATGACATTTGTGATACAGTACAGGCTCATCGTAGGGGTGTGGGGCTCCTCTTATGCAGGACTTGGCCTTGAGGATTTCCTGCCGGTCTGGCCAAAGCTGTGTCAGGGCTCAGAGTCTCCTCCTGTGTCAGGGCTGCAGAGTCTCCTTCCCATCCTCCCTTCCTTCCCCCCTTCTCCTTCTCCGAAGGCTCTCCCTCCCTACCTCTGCTTTGCTCCCTTTGTCCTCCATGGGGGTTCCTTCCAACACAGCTCTTGAGCCAGAAGGTGAGTTAAATATTTAACTGTCTGCCCATCTAAATGCCCGTGTCTTGGAGAACCTGACCTGACACGCTATCACTGCGTCTAGTCACCATTACACTGTGTGCTGGGGTCTGGCTGGTGCCGTCTCTGGTCCTCAGTTCTAGATGCACTAGATGAGTAGACTTTCCTTGAACTGGCTCTACACTCTCTTGTTTCTAGATCTTCACTGGAGCTGTTGCCTATACCTTCCCCAATCCCCACTTATTGACTCCCAGCCCATCCTACAAGACCTAGCTCATGAAAGGGGATTTCTCCTAAATCCCCGCTTTGGAGTAATCTCTTCCTCTACTAACATGCAACAGCACTCTGTGGGATTATAGTACTGATCACAGTCTGTCACACATATCTGATGTGTGTGTGTGTGTGTGATTCTTCTACCAGATGATTAGCTCCTGAAATATTGTCCCTGGCCAGATAATTAACTCCTGAAAACTGCTCACTGTTGAGCTGTGCTCAACAAATGTTAGAATTAAATCAAGGTTTAAAAACAAATGTAATCCATCTATTTATGTCTTGTAAATAAGAAGAAAGACATCTTGGGGCACCCGAGTGGCTCAGATCGTGATCTTGTGGTTCATGAGTTTGAGCCCCACATCGGGCTCTCTGCTGTTAGCACAGAGCCTGCTTTGGATCCTGTCTTCCTCTCTCTGCCCCTCCCCTGCCTGTGCTCACTCTCCCTCTCTCTCTTTCTCTCTCTCTGTCCCAAAATAAAAAAAATAGAAGGCTAAAAAAAATTAAAACACTCGAACACAAAACGTTCTCACTCATTCCACCATATTTCATTACAGGGATATTAGAATAAATGTCAGGGTGGACCCAGACCCTACAGAGTTCTGGTCAGCTGCAAGATAATCTTAGCTTTCCTTTTCCAGGAAGGACCCTGAAAAGATCCTCCCTGGAAAACAAACAAACAAACAAACAAACAAACAAAAACACAGCTGCAACATGTGATTAAACCAGTATTCGGGAAGTTCTTCTTTACATCTAGCTCAGATTGTATTGCTGCAACCTCAGTATATTTTCTCTTCTTTGGGGGAACTGGTAGAGACAGATGTGATTGGCCCGCTCTTCCACAAAGGGAAAGCCAACATTGTAGTCAACAGTTAACCCGAGATCCTTTCATGTTGACAGTCCTTGAGTGCTTTCAAACGTTTTAACAGAATCTGGTGGTGGTCCTGAACTACTGCTGCAGGATAGGGTCTGCCTCTCCTGGTTAGGGTTTGCATTTCTCCCATGTATGGCGGTGTTCTAGACTGAGCCACTTCCTCAGAGCAGGGGAAAGATTGGGTGGGCCATCTGGAAAATTCCCTGAGGTTATAGGCCACCACTTCCTCTTCCTGCTCTATTGAAAAGTAAAGCCTCCCTGGACGAGCCCTAGTCGGTCCCCAGCTTGGCCTTTCAGTGACTACTCATCTGACACTTTCAGATGATGCCCAGAAGAAAGCCCTAGGGAAACCCGAGGCTGGGGCCTGATTCACACACTGGCAGCAACAATAGCAGAGGCAGACAAATAACGCATTTGGGCAGCAGAGTGTGCCGGCGGAGTAAGGGAAGATAAATGTAGCTTTCAGCTTTGTAATGCTGACAAGGAACATGCCAAGAAACTCACTTTTCCTCACAAGCCACTTGTTATTGCCAAATATCCTGTTCATCTGATTGCAGAGGAGGGTCTGTGTGTGCTCTGTAACTCTGTCCTGACTGTGGGCGCCTGCTGAGGAGCTTGTGGGTTAGCAAGAGACAGATGGCGTGCAGAATGGCGTTGGTGGTACCCAGCTCTGGAGCATGGCAGATGTTGACGAATAATAAAGCAGCACATAGCTCAATCACCAATACTCACTTGTTCATGCAGAGGTTACCTTACCCTTCATCCTCTGCCACTGCTTTTATTGGGCTTTAGAGAATAATGAACGTGGAATTTCAAAGGGTTGAGCTTAAACCCAGGTCCCAAGTTTATAGCTGCGCCTCATTTTCCGTGGCTTTAAGAAGGGAGTATCACTTGTAGAAGGTCTCTGCAGCTAATATTAACCCTAATTTGCTCTTATGGACCCCAAATACACCCAACCCTGAGAGACTCTGATGGAGGGCTGCTGCATAATTATCATGACCGGCAAAGTCTTCTGTGGAAGGGGCCTCGGGGCTCCTATGCTGCGTTATCAGGGGGACACCATTTATGTTGGATTCCATATGGATCGCACCCCCTTGGGTCATGGAAAGCAGTCACTCTGGATACTATAATGTAACATTTGTACAAAAAAAAATCACTGCCATTTATCGATAAACTGTCACAATCCATGCAGCAGTGTTGCAAGAAGGAATTATTATTTCCATTTTATAGATGGGAAATCAGAGGCTCAGAAAATCTCTGTAAGTTGACCTCCCCTCCCCCCTAAAAAAGTCAACAGTTGAGGATGAGGACATAAGGTTTGAAATCTGTTTCCCTGACTCAAAAATGTGGATGTTTCCCACTATTCTGTCAATCTCAAATACCTCAGCAGTAAATGGGTATTCCTTCACCCATTCAATAGATATGTATCAAATACCATTAATAATGAACACACATTATGTACTGGGCTGAGGATACAGGATGAAACAATACTGACTGTCCTTGCATGCACGGAGTTTACTGGAAAGGAAAACTTTGGGCAACTAAGACAATAGCTAATACGTTTGGGCTTAATATGTGACACACATTGTCCCACATATTTTACGTACAGTTCACTTATTCCTTATACCAACCTGGAAAGTGGGTATTATTTTTGTCTCTTTTTTACAGACAAAGAAGCTGAGAAAAAAGAGTAACTCGCTCAGGATTACATAGCTGGTCAATGACAGATCTGGGATTTAAATCCAGGGGGCTTAGCTCCAGACTTTGTGCACTTAATTCCTGGCAATACTAACAATGATCACGTAAATCGCCGTTTCGTGACTGCTGTGACACATGCCATAAAGTAAAGGCATGCTGTTAAAGCACATAACATTGTATTTATTTTTTATTCACCTGTTTTCATTAAAACCTATTGATGCATTTATATAGAGAAAAATCTAGGGATGTGTGTGTATATGTGTGTGTGTGTGTGTGTGTGTGTGCATGTATGTAGATATTTTACATCAAATTCTTAACCACACCTATCTCCGGATCCCAAGATTTCAAGCAACTTTTTAAAAATTATTTATGATTTTTATAATATCTAATTTTTATTTTTTTGTAGTTTTTTTTTTATTTTGAGAGAGAGAAAGAGAGAGCCAGGGGAGAGGAAGAGAGAGAGAGAATCCCAAACAGGCTCTGAGCTGTCTGATTCTTACACTCCTAGTTAAATGACCTTGCCCCCAGCATTTAATCTCTCTGAGGCTAGATAGAGACATTGATATAGGTATGTCAGTGCTGCAGGGTTGTTATAAGATTAATGTTCATTGTGCGATTAAACATCATATATGTAAGGTACCTGGCTCTTTGCTCAATAAATATTAATTTCTCCAGTGAGTTAAACATCTTATTCTAACACAAATGCTCAGATTTATAACCCAAAGCATGTCAACCCTCCCCCACCTTCTTTTGGGTGAACTGTGTTAGCAATACTCAGCAGGTATTAAGAGAAAGAAGTCTAGGGTGATATATGTATATACGTGTGTGCGTGCACGCGTGTCTGTATGTACTGGTTATACAGTGAATTCTTTACTATTATCTCTGGGTGATAGGTTTCAAGTGAACCGTCTCTGGCCCAGTCTGCCCTTTGTCAGAGCTGGCTCTGGGAGTGAGAAATGAAGACACGGCAGCAGATGGGGGAACAGATCTTGAGAGCAAAGAGAGAAGTCTGAAACTTCCATTCTGTGGCATACATTCATTTGCAGATTGTTTTTCCTGACAAGTTTTAAATACTTTCTACTCTCTCTGTTAGGAAATAGAACCAAATTTCTCCTCCCAATACCTTTCTCTGCTTTACCAAGTGTGGTTAAATGCATGTATTGGTGTTGGAGGCACATTTTTGTCTTCTCAGAAAAAAAGAGAAAATACCCTATTTAAGGGCTGGAATCAAGGAATAAACCCATGCTGCTGTGCTATGTGGAGACTAAACCTATAAATGTAAGAAACCCACGACCCAAAAATGACCTAATAAGCCCACGTTCTGAATTTTGTATTCCAGCTCCCCCCTCCCCCCCAAATTTGCCCATTCTTAAAATGATTGATGGCTTCTTTTCTGGAATGGTGAAACCTCGATCAAGCCAGAATGCTGAGGCTAACTAACTTAGCCAGTTGTTATTGCCAGTTTGAAATGTTTGAAATACAAAATGCACACAAAAAAGGGTAGATGTCAAGGATGTATAGCTTGATGAATTTTCCCAAACTGAACACATCTGTGTAATCAGCACCCATTTCAAAAAAACACACCCCAGAAGCTTCCCTCCCTACCTCCTCTAGTCCTTAACTGACCGCACCCACCAAGGGCAATCCCTCTCCTGGTTTCTAGCAGCATAGGTGGGGCCCACCTGTTTTTGAACTTTATAGAATCTTTCAGTTTCAGTATACCTCCACTTTTTTTTTTTTTTTTTTTTTGATTTTTTGGTCTGGTTTCATTCACTCAGCATGAGACTCGCCCATGTCGTATAGAGAGGGTTCACCATCACTGCTTTTTAGAGCAAACTGTTTCTCTGTGTAAAATCTCTCCTATCAGATATTCGCTTTCCACACATAAAAATAGTTAACATGCTGATGTTAAGGCTTTCTTTTTCCAATTTCTAACCCTCCCTCCCCAAATGGGGTTTCCTAAAAGGGTTCGGCAAGGAAACTTTTCACGATGGAAAGGAAGACGCCGAATTCCCGTTAATTCTGGTTTGTTTAGAGTTTTCTACAATGGAAGGTACTCACAGGGGAAGTATAAGGATGCGTGGGGAACGGCAGCCACTATTCATCATCCACATTTGCCAGGTTGGTGTAACCGGCTTCCTGTGTAATTTTCTAGTCGCTTGAGGACAGGAAGGGACGCTGCCCCCACGTGGCTCCTGTGGCAGTGCCCAAACCAAAGCGGGGGCCTGGCCCAGTTGTGACGACCAGTCTCTGGTGCTGACCTATTCTGCTCGTCACCACCTGCTCTCTTATACTGCCCCTCAAGGAGGCCATGATTTTGACCGTCTTTTTCATCCACAGGTACATACCACCTAGGAACGATGGAATCTGCTGGTCTGATTATTTGTTTCGCCACCACTTATCACCTCCGTTGGGATCTTAGCGATCATATGAGTAAGGCAATATTTCGAGACCATGCCATGACGCTTTGTGTGTAATTGTGTCTGTATACCCGAGATCCTTGAAGATTGAGCATCTCTAAAGTAGAAGAATATAAGTTGAACAGGGAACCCTAGTGAGAATATGAATCTTCTACAGGCCATAGGGAACAGTTTATGATTCCATACTCAGGGGTAGGGTCTGTTAGCACCATCAGAATTCTCCAGCAGTCAGGTCTGTCGCACGCAGAAGATTGGGAGGACCCCAGAATCTGGTGCCTCCCTTGTGCCTCTCTTTACCTGCTTTGTCATGGTCGCACTGGGGAAATTCAGCTTTCCTCACTCTTCAAAATATTGGTCATCTCTTCCTTTTTCTTAGGCAATTGCTTGAACAACTTGCCTTATGTGAAGTGTTTGCTCAACAATAATGATCGTATTGTGCACGTGTATCTCTCCCAGGGATGATGGCATGTTAATAGAAGATCCTGAATGCCTAAATCCAAAGAACAAATACCAAGTTTATTGGTTAACACAAAAATAATAATAGGCATTATGGTATGGAGCATTTGCTGGGTGCCGTGTGCTGTGTTAAGCTTGATAAAGGTATTATCTTCTTCAATCCTAGTCCCCTCACTTTATGAATGAAGCATAAAGCTCTAGTAATTTTCTCAAGGCCATATAGCTGACAAGTGGCCGAATTGTAATTGAGTTGAAACCAAATCCACCTGACTCAAGAACCAAGTTCTCAATCATAACAACATAGAGACTCTTTCATATTCTGCATTTCATTTTCTAGAGCAACAATTCTGCGTTTTACTGCTTTCTGCCATTATTTTGTTAGCTCTGTCACATAATGTGAACTTGTTTTTTTCCTCATGCCTGTTCCTGATGCCACTTCCTCTTTTCACTGAATCTAGCAGATAACAAGTTGTATGAAATAGTCTTCTGACTTTTCAGATTCATGAAGTAAAGCACTTTCTGGAGGAAGGTTTTTGCTTAGCTTATGGCTTGGTTTCTCTGGTGTACACAATATTTTATAACTTTTCAACCGTATCATATGATCTTTTTAATTGTGGTATACTTGATATACAATATTATATTTGTTTCAGGTGTACAACATAGTGATACAACATTTGTATACATCGCCAAGTAATCACTACCATAAATCTAGCTACCATCTGTCACTATGCAAAGATGTTACATATTATTAACTCTATTTCCTATGTTGTACATTGTATCCCCACGTCTTTATTTTAGAAGTAGAAGTTAGTACCTTTTAATCCCCTTTCCCTATTTTGCCCATTCTCCCACATTCCTCCCCTCTGGCCATCACCATCAGATTATTCTCTGTATTTATGAGTCTTTTTCTATTTTTTTTTAGTTAGGTTTTTTTTTTTTTTTTGGCTGTTGTTCATTTGTTTTTCAGATTCCACATATAAGTGAAATTATATGCTATTTGTCTTTTTCTCTGATTTATTTCACTTAGCATAAAAACCTTTAGGTCCATCTATGTTGTTGCAATCGGCAAGATTTCATTCTTTTTAAAAAAAATGTTTATTTATTTATTTTGAGACATAGAGAGAGTGTGCATGGGGGAGAGCAGAAAGAGAGGGAGACAGAGAATCCCAAGCAGGCTCTGCGGTGTCAGCATAGAGCCTGATGCAGGGCTCAAACTCACGAGTCGTAATATCATAACCTAGCAGAAACCAAGAGTTGGACGCTTAATGGACTGAGCCACCCAGGTGCCCCAAGGTTTCATTCTTTTTTACAGCTGAGTAATGTTCTATTGTATATATACACCACTTCTTTATCCACTCATGTATTGATGGACACTTAGGTTACTACCATCTCTTGGCTATGTAAATAGTGTTGCAATGAACATGGGGTGCATACATCTTTTTGAATTAATGCTTTCATTTTCTTTGGGTAAATACCAAGAAGTGGAACTGCTGAATCATATGGTAATTCTACTTTTAATTTTTGAGGAATCTTCATACTGTTTTCCAGAATGGCTGCACCAGTTTGCATTCCCACCAATAGTGCACAGGGTTCCCTTTTCTCCACATCCTCACTGACACTTATATCTTGTCTTTTTGGTAATGGTCATTCTGACAGGTGTGAGGTGATCTCTCAATCTGGTTTTGATTTGCATTTTCCTGATGATTAGTGATGTTGAGCACCTTTTGTGTGTGTGTCTGTTAGCCATCTGTATGTTTTCCTTGAAGAAATGCCTATTTAGATTCTCTGCCTGCTTTCAAATTGAGTTGTTTGGATTTTTGATATTAAGTTGTGTGAGTTATTTATATATTTTGGATATTAACCCCCCATAGTTATATCATCTGCAAATATCTTCTCCCATTCCGTGGGTTGCCTTTTCATCTTATTCACAGTTTCCTTTGCTGTTGCAAAGGCTGTTCAGTTTGATGTGATCCCATGTGTTTATCTTTATGGTTGTTGTCCTTGCCTTCGGAGACACTGAGTTTAGTTTTTTATATGGTGTAAGAAAGTGGTCCGGTTTTCCCAACACCACTTATTAAAAACTGCCTTTTCCCCGTTGTATGGGTTCCTCTTTATTATGAAGCATTTATTTTCCCTACTATTTAGTTTCCATGATTTTGACTTGTTGATCTTCATTGTCTGTTGTCATTCACAAATTCAAACAGATAGTTTTAAGTAATCATCTTACACATTGAAGCTTCTTAGGACAGGGGTGAAGTAGCAGGCCGTACAGAGTGGAAACCCTGAACTGCCAGCAGGTGGGCCACCAGGCAGGGGATCCCAGGTCCCATTTCGGAGGAGTAGCGTGTATATATATATATATATATATATATATACACACACACTATGTAGTGTGTGTAAATATTTATATATACACACACTATGTAGTGTGTCCCCCCACAATGCACCCACATGTCAAGATTAGGCAATTTAGAGGAGGAAGCCAGACGGTGGCAAAATCTTACTCATTTGTGGGGCAGGATGGAGCCTTTGTGCCGTCGTTGTGGTCACTGGAAACACATTAAATTACATTAAGGTATTGAAGACAAGGAGGTCGCTGATGTTGCACTTACCCCATCATCTTCCCAGAATTCCTGCAGCCTGAGCCTCCGATTATGGAATCTTTTGAAACTGAAATAGCCCAGGGAGGATAGCTTTTAGAAGAGAAGCATCCCTGTGATCACATCACAGCTGCTGCCACTTGGCCTGAACAGAGCCCCACGGTGCCGAGGTGCGTGAACACGCAACACGCACTTTGCTGCTGCTGTTGCAGCTCTGACTTGTGCAGCTTTGTGCCCAGGTAATGCGTGCTGTGTGGATGTTCTGGAAGCATTCGTGGCGCCACAGAGGCCCACAGAATAATGTACAGTGGCTTCTCTCTGGGCCAAATGAGGTCTTAGAAACCGCCTGGTGACATGGAAAGAACATGAGCTTTGAAGTCAGACTTTGTGGCCTTGGATTCAGGAAGTGGCTCTAGTATTTACTAGATCTGCAGTCCTGGACAAGGCAACTAGCTGGTTTAAGCTTCCATCTATCATCTGTGAAGTGTCACTGATAGCCTGCAATCAATATATCATATTAGTAATTACTGTTTTTAAGTCAGTTCCTCCCACTAGGCTGAGGCCCGTAGGCCTCACCTACCTTATTATGATCTTGAGGTATGATCCTTCTGTCCCTACTTTCTTGAGGGTTTTTATCAAGGAAGGATGCTGTATTTTGTCAAATGCTTTCTCTGCATCTATTGAGAGGATCGTGTAGTTCTTGTCCTTTCTTTTATCGATGTGATGTATCACATTGATTGTTTTGCGGATATTGAACCAGCCCTGCGTCAGGTATAATCCCACTTGGTCGTGGTGAACAATTTTTTTAATGTATTTTTGGATCCGGTTGGCTAATATCTTGTTGAGGATAATTGCATCTATGTTCATCAGGGAAATTAGTCTATAGTTCTCCTTTTTAGTGGGGTCTTTGTCTGGTTTTGGAATCAAGGTAATGCTGGCTTCATAGAAGGAGTTTGGAAGTTTTCCTTCCATTTCTATTTTTTGGAACAGCTTCAAGAGAATAGGTGTTACCTCTTCTTTAAATGTTTGGTAGAATTCCCCTGGAAAGCCATCCGGCACTGGCCAGATGTTTTTTGGGAGACTTTTGATTACTAATTCGATTTCTTTACTGGTTATGGGTCTGTTCAAATTTTCTATTTCTTCCCGTTTCAGTTTTGGTAGTGTATATGTGTCTAGGAATTTGTTCATTTACTCCAGATTGCCCATTTTATTGGCATACAATTGCTTGTAATATTCTGTTATTATTGTTTTTATTTCCACAGTGTTGGTTGTGATCTCTCCCTTTCATTCTTGATTTTACTTATTTGGGTCTTTTCCTTTTTTTTTTTTTTCTTTTTTTTTTTTTTTTTTGATCCAACTAGTGGCTAGTGGTTTATCAATGTTGTTAAGTTTTTTAAAGAACCGGCTACTAATTTCATTGATCTGTTCTACTGGTTTGTTGTTGTTGTTGTTGTTGTTGTTTGTTTGTTTGTTTGTTTCTTTCAATAGCATTGATTTCTGCTCTCATCTTTATTATTTCCTGTCTTCTTCCAGTTTTGGGTTTTATTTGCTGTTCTTTTTCCTGCCCTTTAAGGTGTAAGGTTACATTGTGTATCTGAGACCTTTCTTCCTTCTTTAGGAAGGCCTGGATTGCTATATACTTCCCTCTTCTGACCACCTTTGCTGTGTCCCAGAGGTTTTGGACTGTGGTGTTATCATTTTCATTGGTTTCCTTGTATTTTTTAATTTCCTCTTTAACTTCTTGGTGAGCCCATTCATTCTTGAGTAGGATGGTCTCTGGTCTCCAAGTATTTGTTATCTTTTCACGTTTTTTTCTTGTGGCTGATTTCGAGTTTCATAGTGTTGTGCTCTGAAAATATGCAGGGTATGATCTCGATCTTTTTGTACTTGTTGAGGGCTGATCTGTATCCCAGTATGTGGTCTATTCTGGAGAACATTGTAGGTGCACTGGAGAAGAATGTGTATTTCACTGCTTTAGGATGAAATGTTCTGAATGTATCTGTTAAGTCCATCCGGTCCAGTGTGTCATTCAAAGCCATTGTTTCCTTGTTGATTTTCTGATTAGATGATCTGTCCATTGCTGTGAGTGGGGTGTTGAAGTCTCCTACTATTATGGTATTACTATCGATGAGTTTCTTTGTGTTTGTGATTAATTGATTTATATATTTGGGTGCTTTCAAGTTTGGTGCATAAATGTTTATAATTGTTAGGTCTTGTTGGTGGATAGACCCCTTAATTATGATATAATGCCCTTCTTCATTTCTTGTTACAGTCTTTATTTTAATGTCTAGATTGTCTGATATAAGTATGAGTACTCTGTCTTTCTTTTGGTGACCATTAGCATGATAGATGGTTCTCCATCCCCTTGCTTTCAATCTAAAGGTGTCTTTAGGTCTAAAGTGGGTCTCTTGTAAACAGCATAT